TGAAGCAAAGCTTTGTGTCTGAAAAGGATGCATTTCAAGGCTTGCATAAAAGGAAAACGAGGCATGAGCTTGCTTTAAAGCACTTTGGGATGCTTTAAAGAAATCTGTTTCAGCGTGTTGACTTTTTTAATGTAAATTTGAGGGATGCTGTTCCTTAGATGCTAGTCAATCCTCCTTCCACGAGTGTCCTCAAAGCCAGTGAGCTTTGTAAAAGGACTCCAGAAACTTGTTTCAAGTCACTGATGCTCAAATTTCCAGCAGCTTAAAAAAGGCACCCTCAATTAATTGGTTGGCATCGTTTGATTTTTGAGAAGTTTACAAACTGCAGAGGCCTTGTAAGAGTTCTCTTCCTTTCTGTGTGAAGGAATGTTGGAAAGACAAGGGGAACTATGCTTTCTGTAAAACTGGTGAAACATTTAAAAATATATGCTATCTATTTTCCTCCTTGAGAACAATTATTCTTTCCCAAATGTGCGTTTATATAGATTTTCAGCTGATTCAGTGGCAAATCCATATAGTGAATTAAGCCTGGCTTCTTGATTCCAACGTAACCCACCCAGACTTTTTTGAGAACAGCCAAAGAACCGAAAAGTCGCAAAGCTTCTTCTTTCTTTTTCCAGTCCCCCAGCCGTGAAGCTTCGAGGGACAGTTTCCCCCACACCAAAGAGTCCTCCCCACCAGGGGAGTGGTTCCCACCCCACAGCCCCAAGGCCCAGCAAGAGATGCCATCAAGCCCCAGGGAAGAGGGGAGAGCCACCCCCTCCCCCCCTCCGGATCCTCAGAGACATCACAGCCACACCCCACAGCAGCAACCACCAGCGCACAGCATGGAGACTGCGAGCACGTTTCCGGAGCGAGTACGGAACGGAGGGGGGTGTTCAAGGGGGCTCCTCTGTGGGGGTGCCAGCTTCCCTTTAGGCTTAAAATTTGGAGGGGTGGCAGTCAGGAGACCCAGCCCTGTGGCCCCTTCCTGCTAAATTAGCCCTTTCCCCACAGGGCAGCCCAAAGCCTCTCTTTCCAGTGGAGGTGTCTGGCCTAGACAGTGGAGGTCCTGCCTCTGAGCCACAGCGCCTGACTGAGCCACAGCACAGCAAAGAGTGAGTATCAGAGGCTGAGCAGCGGGGTGGTGGAGGCTCACTGTGCCATGTCCCACTTGCAAGTGGCAGAGGGCCTGGCTTGGGAACGTAGATCAGCTGGGGTGGGGAGGCACCCTGCAGTGCAGGGGATGATGCTGGGCTCGCTTTGGCCCAGGACATATAAAGCAGTGCAGCTTCTTAAAGCACAAGCAGAGTGGCTCTGGGAAAGAGCTGTCCTAAAGGCCTGGTTTTCAGAGACCTTTGAGCCCAGATATTGCTTAGAAACTGACCGGACAAAGCCACGTGTTGCAGGTGGGCTGAGCTAGCCTTGGTCGTTTTAAGGTGGATGGCCAGGAGGATGCTGTGGGGACCCTCTATCCTTTCTCATGTCCCAAGATGGATGATAGAGGAAGGGATTGTTTTATTCGTCCCATCACAGTTATTTCCAAATTCAAAGGGGATAGCCCCCACCCACCCCCAGTGTCCCAAATCAGAGCCCACAAATCCAAGTTTGGGTTGGAATTGGTGAGAAGAGCTGACCCCGTTTTCTGGTGGAGGCCACCTTTGGGTTGAAGCGCCCCAGAGGGCACCGGCGCCCTCTGTGCCCAGCGCACGGCTGGTCTCAGCAGCCGCGAGGCCCCTGCAGCCGACCTGCTCTGGCCGTCCCGCTTCTGCTGGGCGACGGGGCTTTCCGGGTGCGATGGCCCGCAGCCCTCTTGGCTCCCCAGATCGAGGGCCGCCTCCCCCTCCGGGAGCGTGGGCGTCGGCCTAGTTCAAGGGAGGTGGCCGGTTGTAGGTCTCGGAGCGCCCGGTGCCTTCAGTGGCGTAGGTTCCTGCGCGCCCGGGACGTTTGACCGGTTGGACTGGGGGCTGGCCTTTAAGCACGGGACGGATCCTGCAGCGCCCACGTGCCAGATGCGGCCCGGGAGAGGGGCCCCCGGGGGCGCCCCGGTGACCCACCCGGGGGGC